CTCATTACTGAACTTTGCACCTAGATACCACAAGGGCTTTCTTCTATCTTAAACCTGGCTATAAACTTGAGGTAGCAGGGAAGAACGATGTCTCTATCCCCTAGCCCTAGGTCTTGGCATGCTCTCCTAAAGGAAGACAAAGGGAATCCTTGCCATTTTCCACTTCTCCTGTAAGTCATTGTCATCATAGCAGACCCTGAGAAAAAGAAAAGTTGAGTGGAGTAATTGTCTCCTGTGTCTTATGTACAACTGTCTTGTCTGTACATCCCAGAATGAGATTTGTAGCTTTTGCAACAGCAACATATTGTTGACTCATAGTCGGTCTGGGTTTCACTATAACCCCCAGATCTGTTGGGGGAAAAAATCCCTTTCTGTTTTAAAAAATATCCTTTTTGCCTTGACTGAGTATGGAAAAACTATGAGATGTTATTTTGGCTAAAACATGTCAGCAAATGAGCCTTAAATCTAATATCCTCTCTCTTCTTGTCACTCTCGATGCTGAGTTGCTGTCTCAAACAATCTAGTAATATTTCAATTGAGTAATATAAGATAATAATATGATCTTGCTACTCCATCTAGTGGATATAATGTTGTTCTCTCCAGCAACCAAATACCTCAGCCACTGATTCTATATCAGTTTTGCCTGTGAAAGAATTCCACCCTCCTATTAGCACCTAAGGCATTTATGTACACATTTAAGAGAGCTAAGAATCATCTCATCATAAAGGGGATTCCAGAAAGTCTTGGGATTCACCTCTCAGATTGCCCTTGAAATTTTCTTCTCTCTTTGTATCATTTAGAAGGCAGAATCTCAAACTCACAAATATAGAGAAAGGAATCCTCATCGCCATATGTGGCTCCTTTGCATTACTGCACTTGCCTCCTACGTACAGAGTATGATTTAATACAGCACAAAGTAATCATAACTTCAATGTAGTTGGCTTCAAGACACATGGAGCCTGATTCCTACAGGGCAGCTCCTAGGTACTGTGTTGCTAGGGTGATCATCCAACCATCCTTAATTGGGTGGACAGTCCCACAATGGGAACCTCAAGTCTGGGTCCCAGGCTGCATGACTCCAGGACATCATTTTTCCTGGTTGTTAAGTCTCATGCAGGGATCCACAGGAAATGGCAGGTTTCCCCTTGCAGGCTGGCAGCATTCCACCTGCAAGAGGCTGCCAGGAGTGGGATGCAGGGGTGCCATGTCATGTGCATGTGGACACCCGCATGTGGCCAGGAACACAGCCAGGCAGCCTGGAGAGCAGCTCCCAACAGGTAAGTTTATGTGTGGGAAGGGATGCGGGGGGGGGGGGAGATCAGGGCCCCCACTGTGATGGAGGGAGTGGGGCAGGGGCTGGGGGCACTGCCCAGTCATGGCAATGCATAGTGCGAGGGTGGGGAGCGGGATGGAGCTGTGGGCAGCTCTTCCAGGGGCAAGGTGGCGGGGCATGTGCTCCCCAGATTTGTGCATGGGGCAAGGATGAATGTGGACTGCCTGCTATATGCTTGTGGCTCCCTGCCCTGCTGTCCTGCCCCTGGGGGCTCCCGCTGACTGCAACACCATGACAAGTGCCTTCTGTCTGCCTGGCAGCAGCAGGGATGGCGGCAGTGTGGAGTTGTGCCCCTTGCTGTTGCCAGACAGGCAATGGGCATGTGGCTGGCACGGGGCTCCCGAGGGAAAGGCAGCAGGGTGGGGAGTCCCGAGCCCACAGTGGGCAGCCCACATCTGCCCCCCACTCTGTTTTGCTCTGCTTGGCTCTGGTCCTGCAGCAGTGGGGGGCAGAGGAGGAGGAAGGTGGGCATGTGTCCTGCCTTCTCCTTTTGAAAAGGTGGTCTCCCTATGTGTTGCCTTCATGAGACATTTTACAGCCATTCCCTGCCATTGCCAACACAGTTCTGATCCAATGATGGTGTCAATGTCTAGCGGAGAGCAATGCAAATAGTTTGGGGGCGGGGGCACGTGGCTTCTGAGGACAGGCTGAGGGAACTGGGGTTATTTAGTCTGCAAAAGAGGAGACTGAGAGGGGATTTAATAGCAGCCTTCAACTACCTGAAGTGTGGTTATAGAGAATGGAGCTGGACTGTTCTCAGTGGTGACAGATGACATAACAAGGAACAACAGTCTCAAGCTTCAGCAAGGGAAGTTTCAGTGAGAAATAGGGAAAAGCTTTCTCACAAGGGGGCGGTGAAGCACTGGAATGAGTTACTAGAGAGGTTGCGGACTCTCCATCCTTGGAGGTTTGTAAGACCCGGCTAGACAAAGCCCTGGCTGGGATGATCTAGCTGTGGATGGTGCTGCTTTGGGGTTGGAGTAGAAGTGACCTCCTGAGGTCCCTTCCGACCCACATTTTATTTTCTATGATGCGCTGGGAGCACTACTGCAGCTACACCACATCGCCCCTGTGCAGGCAGCCCTGTTCTGATTAGAAGCGGTCTCGGCCAAGCTCATGGCACGGCTTTGCAGACAGGCCGTGGGCGCTGCCCCGGCCCCGAGCACGAAGCTCAGCCCAGGACCCCGGCCCCAGCACGCAATAGTGGGGGGGGGGCCCCGACTCGTGACGTCAACACGTCCAGCGACCGCCCCAGGCCCCCGGGGCGAAAGGTGAGTCCAGGCAGCGCGCAAGTCCCCGCCCCCCTCCCCAGAGCATAGAAACTACAAATCCCAGCATGCCTCGGGGCTCGCGGGCGCATGCGCGGTGTGGCCGGCCTCGCGGCATGGCGGGGTTCGCGGGCCTCCTGCTCCCCAGGGGCAGATCCCTCCCCCCCGCCCGTAAGAGCGCGGCCGTGGTGTAGACAGGGCGTCCGCGGCCACCAGGGCTCCAGGCGGCGCCTTTCAGTGTCCCCGCCCGGATCGGGCTGTGCCGCGCGGGGCGGGGCCCTGCTGCTGCCCCCAGAAGGGCTGAGCCAGGCTAGTCCCGGGGGGGATGATCTAGTTGGGGATGGGCCTGCTTTGAGCAGGGAGTTGGACTAGATGGGACCTCTGAGGTCCCCTTCAGCCTCATTTTCTATGATTTTATGAATTTGCTAGGATTGGTCTGGAGCACTGAGGTCCTTTCTGGCTGAGCATTGGGCTTTGCAGTGCTGGCAGGTAGCATGGCAGATACATACGTGGCTCTTGTATTCATAAGGGCCAGGCAATTGCAGGCGAGGCAGGAAACGGAGCAGGACCCAGGCTTGTGCAGGGTGTCCAATATGTGTCCTTAAAAGCAGTAGCAGGGGGACAGCAAAAGCCACTCCACGTTTCTGCTGGAAGCAGATGGGAGGTGAGACCTGCTCTGAAGCCCTCTGCTTGCCCCAGAGCAGTCCTCAGTCTTGACTAGGGTTTACTTTTATTTTAATTTTTAAATGAACTTCTGCATTTGGGAGAAGCCAGTATGCAGAAATGGAAGTTATGGGAAGCAAGGAGGATTCTGTCTAAGTGCAGGGCCACCCAGGTCATTATAGGCACAGTTGGGTGGTTTGAGTGGCATCGTGTCCCCAGCTACATCACTTGTATTCATGGGGGGAGAAAGTCTCAAAAGTTGTTTTGTTTGAGTCCCATATATGAGAATCTCACAGGCGTTTGTTCTTATGCAAGGATTCCAGAAAGTTTGAGTGATCTGACTTATATGGGACTATGCGTTTTCCAGGTTTGGTTTCTGAATGAGTCTTAGAGGCCTGAGCTTGAGCTTTAGTTCTACTTGTATTTGGCAGCAAGTAGAATGTTTCATTTTGAGGCATTGTGGACATGTTAGCGCTGCGTTGGACGTAGTAGAGTGCTGCCATGAGACTATGCCTCTCCCACTCCATATGTACTACAGGCTGAAAAAGCATCATGTAGTTGCCACTAACGTGGTACTCTATGATGTGCCCAAAACAGCTAGGTCAGCATTTCTCAGCTGGTGAGTTGTGACCCAAAAGTGGGTCGCAAGAAGAGATGAAAAGGTCGCCATCAAACTTGAAAAATGGATTCTTCTTTAAAGGAGAAAAATGTGGGAAAACTATGACAATTTTCCCTTGCAGGCTGGCAGAGTTCCAGCCTGTGAGGTCCCCCCTATGCCCCTCACACCCACCCCCCTGCCCCACACACTGGGAGGGCTGGGTCCTGGGGGCAGCAGGTTGGGAGTGAGGGACACTGGGTCGGGACTGGCCATTGATGTTTACAAATGGGTCCTGGTATCAAAAAGGTTGAGAACCACTAAGCTAGGTAACGAGAAAATGGGGTAGGTCATGTTCTTGCAGTAGCACTTGCCTCACTGGCTGACATGGTGTGTTCATGCCCTATAATTTTTTTTTTTTTTAATTTTCTGTTTCCAGAAATGAGAATATGTCCCAATCATCCTTGTACAATCAAAATGCTAAATGTATGTGAATCTTAAAATGTTTCTACTTTGATTTCTTTCTATGAAATTGTTAATATTTTGCAATTTGATTCAGTTCTTATAATGTGTTTATATTTTCTAGTGGGATACTCAACTGTTGCAATTAACCATGTCATTGATTTTAAAGAAAAGAAACAGGTAAAAGTTTGTTTTGGTATTTATTCTTTTTTTATTTTTCCACTTAACATACTTCATAATTACTTGTCCTCAAATTGTCTCCTCTTTTAGAGTACTCATCTACATGTATATACAAAACTTTTTATTCATTACAAAGGTCCAGTTTAGAACTCCATCTTTCTACTAGTCCTTCTGCTTGGACTTAAATTTTACTTCCCATAAATTCAGTACACTGCATGAGCTGTCCATAAAGTTCTAGTTTCATTTGTTTGAAGGGCAGGTTCCTGTTTAGAAAAATGTATGCAGCTTTTATTTATATTGAGAAGTTGGCCCATTAAGTTTTTAAACACTTACTTTTGTTTTGCTTTTCATTTTCAGGAAATTCCTAAACCAATCTCTCCTTCAGAACTGCTTCCATCTTTGCCTATAATACCGGTATGTCAGTTTAAATGCCACCTGCATATAATGGTCTCTGGAATATATTTGTATTCTAGTGTGTTTGTGTATACAGTTCTCATATCAGGCCTGAGTTGGAGAGAACCTTTTTCAATGTCTGATTTACTAAAATAACTGCAGCAACAGAAAACCAATACAGTCTAATGTATAGTACATTCTAATATGTTCTTCATCATACAGTTTATATGATATGGGAACAAACATTGTGCTCAGGCTGAACTTGGAAGCTACTTCTAGTTAAACTTTTCTATAGTTGACATTTTAAGAGCTTGAGTTTTAGGGATGATTTCCCAAGTTAAATTATCAAACCTTCTTTTAAATCCATGGAGTACTTTAATTAAAAAAACAAAAACAACTCTTATCTGTAGTACAGTGATCATTCTGACCTGTGGTAACAGGATATAGGGCTGTACAAAACGGCTGCGTTTTGATACCATTTCGGAGGACAGTGATTTGTTTCAGTGTTTCAGCTCACAGTCCTGTTTTGTTTCAGCTGAATCTGTGCAAGGGAAGCTTCGCACAGCCCTACCCTTCCGGGCAGGGCTTGGGGCCCCAGCGGAGAGCAGGACAGGACCATGGGTGGCTCATACGGGGGAGGGCCACTGCCCTCTGAGCAGATGAGGAGACCCCTGCACGGATCTGATACCTCTCACGCCAGGTCATGGGGCAGGGAAGCAGCGCAGAGCGGCGAGCAAGCCTGCTGGTCCCTGCTGCGCGACTCAGCTCCACAGGGAACAGAGATCCGCTCTGGGGGTCTCCTTGCCGCTGCTGCTCAATCTGTGCTGCCCTGGCAACATGGGGCTGTGTGGGGTGGGCAGCGGTGGCAAGGAGACCCCAGTGTGGATCTCTGCTCCCTGCAGAGTCAGGTCATGGGGCAGCGATTCCCCAGTCCCCGGTTTGATTCCCAGCTCTCTGATCATTTCCCCCAGCTCTTCCCGGGGGTCGTGGGCCCCCAGATCCGCACGCTGGGTTTCAGCAGGCTGCCTCTGAAGGCTGGGGCCAAAGGCAACACCACAGTTTTCCTGATGCTTGGCACGGAGTGCGCCAAGTGGCTGCCGCTTTCCCTAGCCTTCAGCGGCAGTCTGCTGAAACCTCACACACAGATCGAGAGCCCGTGCCTGCTGAGAATAGCTAGGGAAACGATCAGAGAGCTGGGGAATCGAATCGGGAGCTAGATATCAATATCAGAGCAGTCATTTCCCCACCTCTTTTCCCCTCCCTCTTCTTAGTTTTTGTTTCCCTGCAAGCCCGACTCCGAAACGTTCCAAAAGGAATCGGAGCCATCCGGTTCATTTTGGAGCCTTCCGTTTCGATTCAGATTTGGTGTTTTGGGCACTGAAACAGCCCAAAACACCTCTGAAATGAAACGGCTGCCGAAATTTCGCGCAGTCCTAACTGGATACCAGAATATGCTCAGTTATTCTGCTGTGTGATGTTTAAAACAGAAATAAAGTTCAAAGGAATGTAAGAAGTCATCAATTTCTAAGAGCACCACAGAGTATGGAAACAAAATATTAAAATTAGAAAGGTAAAAATATGTTGGTTTAGTTACAAATGAGAAATAAATGAGTATAGGCAAGAAATGAACAAAGTACCATTCTGTTTACAGTAATGGGAATGAAAAATCAATCGGCTACATCTTTGTTGTGTCCCTTTTCAATAGTCACTTAGACATATTTTGCTTACAGGGAAAATTGAAACCAATTAAAATTGTAACCCGACTAACGCTTGTAGTTTCTGATCCTTCTCACTGCAACGTGTTGGTAAGTATTAAAAACTCTCTATATAATTTTATAGTTTGCAACTTATTTATTTATTTATTTTCACAATGAAATAATGTAACTTTTGATAGTTTACAGAAACTTTATGTTTTTCGTGGAAAACATTGCACTAAATTTTTCCGAGATTGACATCTTATGATTACATTGCTCTCTAAAGATACCACTTTAGTAAACCAGAATATGCAGTGCACTGGCGATTTTTTTACTAAGGGCATAGGCTGCTGCCAAGATGATTTGATTCTATTCCCAGGCTCTTACTTTTGAGTTCTCAGTCTGTAGCAGATGCTAGAATGCTGTTGCAAATCCTTCTGGTAGAGTGGGTGAAGAAGTGTTAAAACATGAAATAATCACTCCTGCTCTTTAGTTCAGTTTTGGCATAATACCAGTAAGACTGATTTTGCTTAACTTTGTTCAGCTTAAATTTCAAAGCCTCTCCTTTTGCTGTTGAAAAATGCCATGTTGAATTGGGGGAGGTTTGCCAGGTGTTCTTATCTTGGGTGGGAAGAGGACTTACAAAGTATAGTAACAGTAATATAAGGAGATACCTATGACTTGCGAGGCAAACCTGCCCTACCACTGTACTTGTGAATGGGATGACATCCAGAATAACGGCAGTAAAATGCTTGGAAGGCAGGATAGAGACCCACCTTTACAGAATAGCTAAATAAAATGTATATGAAAGCAAGCTTTAATGAATCTAAGTTTACTTTGTTAACAGCAGCAGTTAAAGTATTAATAGGAATGACTTGTTTTATCTCATAGTTGGGGATTTTTTTTCTTTTATTACCTATTTGTTATTTTTGAAGTTATGCCAGTGCATGTCTCCACTACCTGTCATAATTTAAGCCATTATTTCTTCCTTTTTTTGTTAGAGAGCAACATCTTCAAATATAAGGTTATATGACATCATAGCAGTGTTTCCAAAGACAGAGAAACTATTTCATGTAAGTAGATGAGTTTTCTCTAAATTGCGATTACAACTGTAAATGTTGAAATAATGTTTGATGGTTTTGAGTGGATGAGTGTGTTGCTTGGATTTCATCTCAAAATTTCCCATATGCTTTTTGGGCATGCTTGCAGCATAACTGGTGGTGTGGAGTAGACCTCCATTTTGCTGTATTAAGGCATAAGAATTTAAAAAGTCTGCATCAAACAAGGGTGTAGGTTGTAGCCATGTTGGTCTAAGGACATAGGCAGACAAGGTTCCTTGAGACAGCTCTCTGACACCACCTACTACAAAGAACTACAAGAAGATCCTACTCCCCTTTTCACCAAAAAACTCAACAATACCATCAAATCATTTCCATCAAGACTACAAGAAAAACTACAGACCTTGATCCCCCCGCTACCTAACCCAGGGACTTTTTACATGCTCCCTAAAATCCACAAACAAGGGAACCCTGGCAGACCTATCATATCCAACCATGGGACCCTAACTGAGGAAAGTTTCGTTGAATCTATCCTAAAACCGCTTGTCACCCACAGAGCAAGTTTTGTACAAGACACTACAGACTTTCTACAGAAACTTAAAAACACAGACCACCTTCCCAGCAACACACTCCTAGCTACCATGGATGTTACCAGCCTATATACCAACATCCCACACCATGATGGCATCCAAGCCTGCCTTACATATCAACAGGAAA